TACATTCATTTTGTACAGATTTACTCAAACACATTTAGGCAGGCTATGTAGAAACTGAAGTCAATACAAATATATGCCAGGAACGCTTGGTAAAGATTTTTTAAGACAACATATAGAGGCCCAATATTTAGCAAAGCAAGACTTTTAAATCAGAAAAGGTTGGTCGAGGGACCAGTGTGTCAGATGTGTTTTAGTGAACTCATTGAAACACAAACCTGATAAAGTCACTGATTTATTTTAAAGAAATTGTTCAATTTGACAGGGAACATAAATAAAACATTCCTTCAAGTGCCTCAGATATTTTCTTTGAATTTACACCTTTGCAGTTTTAGTTGAGTTGACATAATCTCCCATAAATGTGAAGTGATGATGTAGAAGTATGATTTAAAATGGGCAGATTTGAAAAAAGTACATTTTGGGTCACTGATGATGTACAGTCAGTTTTTCTAGTCTCTGAAATTCCACTTTCAACACTGATGAAACAATAGAAGGAAGATAATACAATTAAGACGCATAAGTTTTAATTCTCTCCTTGTGTTTGATGAAAATACCAGAGGTAGTTGCACTTCTTCAGAAGGTCAGTGGTCAAATTCTGTAAGGTCAGGATGTCAATGGGCAACAGAGACTAATCCTACTATTGCTGCATAGCTGGATGACAAAAGGTTAAAGAGATCAAACTTCTACATTTGCATTGTTGTCAACAAACTGGAGCACATATGTACAGTTTACAGGTAGTATGTTAGTGGACAACTCTGCCCAGCACTAAAAAACACAAAGGAAATGCTAGTGTCAGTTTGCGGCTGGGTATCGGGCTAGGAACCCATCCCCGTAAAAACCCCCACTGCTACAGAAACGACGGACATCTCTTTGGAGACCTTGTTGCCCGATGTGCCTCGCAACACCTGTGGAACTAAGGAGGAGGACAATATCAAGCTGTAAAGGCACCCTGACCTTTAAGGATTCAGTGGTGACATAAAACAAATGCTCCTGTGTTCACATTTCAGCTGGGTCATAGCCTGTAACAATTTCTCTTCTGGGTCATTACAGATATTCATTCATTTCTATATGCCTACAAAGCACAAAGATTTGTAGTAATTGGAGTTACTTTAATAAATGTTATGATTATAAGCCAACGAGGACTGAAGCTAAGCATGATGTTTGGCCTGTACGGTAGCAAGGGTGCTTTAACAAAGAGGTTAGCATTTTTACAAACATAACACATGCATTTAATCTAAATGAAACATAATCTGTAACTTTGGAAATTTAATCATGTTCTTACTGAGAGTCAGCTGGGAATATAGGTACTACTATCATGTCTGTATGCTAAATATGAAGCCACAGCAGGTTAGCTTAACTTAACATAAGGAGTTGAAGCAGGAAAAAGCTGGCCTGGCTCTGTGAGAAGTTATAAAATCTGCCTACCAATGCCTCTACCTTCCAGTAGCTAACAAGTTTTGTCTCTTGTTAAAGAAAACAAATTGCAAAAGCATGTGGTTACAAGAGAGGACGTGTTAAGCAAAGCCAACCGGCTGCTGGTGTTAGCTTTGTATTTAGTATATAAGCATAAGAATGGTATCAGTCATCTTATTTAATTCTCAGCAAAAAAGTAAATAAGCATACAAGTTTTTTTTTTCAGCTGACTCTGAATTCCTGTAATAACAGAAATGAAAGTAATAATCAAACTGAATTTTGAGTGGAGCGCTCTTCTAAGGTGGAGCAGCGGCTGTTACAGGTAAGTATATTCAAATCATACCATGGCATGTGAAGTGAATGAGATGAATTCAAACTGCTACTGTTGGGTGTATGCGCTACTACAAAGATTTTTGGATTACTTCAGGATGGGATCTGTTTCAAATGAATGTGACAAATGTAATCATTTCCTTACAGTGTTATTTAGAGAACTCCAGGTTATCTATCACACACTACGCTACCCTAGTTGCCACTAAATACATCAAAGTGAAACTGGAAGAAGTCTAACATAAGGCACTAACATACTGCTGCCCCATATGAACAATAATTCACAGTTTTACATCAGTTTTAAGCAATAAATGATGATATTATGCTTCAACTCTAAATACTTGCAAGTTAAGAAACAAAGAAAACACTGGCCCCTCTGATTTTAATTATCATACAAACTATAAAAATAAAATGAATAGCGAGTGATTTCATTTTAAGTGGATTTTCCCTTTACTTTAACCTCTTCACCTCTGTCAGGAAACATGTTAAGTGATATGCTTTATACCAGCGGTATGGTGACCTTTGACTAATGGCTTTTCTCTTTCCTGCCCACTGAGCTAGCTAATCATAAATTCTTAGTTATTACTTGAGCAACTATTTTAGATATGGTGGTTTTATCAGTATTTGTTTGTTACTGCAGAATTTAACACTTGGGTTATTACATAAACTATAATTCCACATATAAAGTACTTTTTACAGTACTGCTACATTATATTCATATTGCAACTATCTGATGGTGGTGAAAAATTCAGCATGACATGGTTTTGGTCCTTTTAATATTAAATAATAAATGTGATGATTTGACATGACACTCCATGTACTATTTCACATGAAATAATGAGGAGAGACAAATGCACCAGTAAGGGAATAAAATGATAAAAGTACAAAATCCCTGACTGAAACAGAAGCATGTAAAATCAAACACAAAGATAGAATAAAAAGTTTTTCAAGGCAAAACAATTCTTTGCATCTTGTCAGAGATGAGAGTTTGCCAAGTAAAAACAGTCAAGTCACAGAGATCAGCAAGGCCTCGAGATTTTCTAAACATGTTTTTCTCACAAAAATGGGTATTTTTTATGTATGCCGTTGTGAAAAACACTTTTTGCATGAACAATTTGACATATAAAGAGTAAAATGAACCTGTTATGTAGATAATTTACATGTTAAATAGCTCCACACTCCTTTTCTGTGGATAGAAGGCACTGGCCTTTACTAATGGCATCAATCACATTCAGTGAATGAAGAACTTTAGTAGTTGTGTTGGCCTGCTAGGAGATGCAAGTATGCTAACACTTAGAGACCGCTGATCAATTTAACCACCAAGATTTAACTTTATTCTGAGGTAACCCAAATACTAAGTAATCTGACTCCTACCTTAGTGGAAATAAATAAACAAAGTCTGCCTGCATTGTTTCTTTCCCTTTCTTAAAGTGGTGGGGCAGAACAAATCTAAATAAATACTAAAAAATACACTTAGGAGATAATGGTATGAGCTATCCAGATATTGGTTAGGATGATTCCACTTCTTGAGTGTCTCAGTGACAGAGAGGCTGCTGACAGCAGGGGAATCCAAATATGTTTAGGTCAACATAACTCAGATTATGACAGGCCAATAAAATTACTAGGTAGATTTTGGTCACCAGGGGTCTAAAAATAGGTGCTATGGGACAGAATCTGCCCTCAGCTTGTGTTTCCACAGCTTGTCCTGTGCACTTTTTAGCAGCAGCCATGTCAGCACCATGTTGTTAACCTCTGCTGACTATGTAAATGGTGTTTTGTGTGTGACCTTTAAACTTTGAAGCTTTCCCCCAAAGTTAGCAGGCTACTATTGCTAATGTCAAATGTTAAGAAAAAAAAACACCCTTTGCAAAGTAAGCAGCTCAACATCTCTTTCTGTGAAATGTAAACAATGTATACATATACAATGACAAAAATAAATAGGAAAAAAAATCCCAAAAAATGAAAAACTGAATAAAAAGGAGACAAGAACAGGAGTCTTAAATCACATCACTGTAAAAGGTTCAGAGACAAAAAAGGAAGGACGCTGTCAAAAATGTGGTTGCTGTTAAAGTTACAGTTGAGGTGGCAAAGTGTTAAACACACAGGTCTATCAGTAAATATCTGAACGTAATAACGGACATACCAAATGTTAAACACACAGGTCTATCAGTAAATGTCTGTACGTAATAACGGACATACCATTTACAGAGATTTCAGTCAGATGTTTTACCAGATGAAAGTTTCAATCACTGTGATCAATCATGACTAATCAGAATACTACTACTAAACTGTAGTAGGTGCATTTAACTGGTAAATGGTCTTAAACTTGTATAGCGCTTTTCTATGCACTGCAGCACACTCAAAGCGCTTTCACACTATTTGGCCATTCACCCATTTGTACTCCCAAGCACTCACACATTCACACACCAGGAGCAACTGGGGGTTCAGTGTCTTACACAAGGACACTTCGACATGTGGACTAGAGAAGCCGGGAATCGAACCACCAACCTTCTGGTTAGGAGATGACCTGCTCTGCCGCTTGAGCCACGAAAATGTAAAGTCATAGTTTGCTGTCTTGCGGAATTTCTACGTACATTTAAACTCATACAGTGTGGGGACACTGGTTGGTTGAATTAATTGCAGTTGCTGCTGATTTGCATGATTCTAAAGCAGGGAATGTGTTTGTCTTTGCCATAAAACTGTGTTCAGACAGGCAGCTCACTTTCTTGGAAAAATACTTCTCGAGAATGCATGTACTGTGTAAAATGCACATGTACTATGATCCCACTGCAACAATTCTTTTTTCCTCTTATTTAGCTTTTTTGATGTTTTTTTTTTTTGTTGTTGTTGTCATTTTTTGGTGAGTCTTTCCACACGACATGTATGCATGAGGAAGAGCAGAGAACTGCAAAAATGGAGGAGGTCCGAAAGGCAACATTGGAACACGGACAGACATTTCAGCACAAGAGCTTATTGCTATACACTAACTAATTGTTAGGCAAAAACATTTACTTAGCTTGTGCGCATTAGCACTGTTATAATGTCATAACGGAAGTTGATGATCTTATTTAAACCCAAATCTAGTCCCTTTTTATGCTGAATGTCAGTACACTTTACTGACAATCAACTGAAAATCAGAGCCCTCCTTTCTGAGCGCAGGTCTGCAGGTCTGTGTCAGGTTGGTTTTATGTATGTGCATTGAAGATATCTGTTTATTCAGATCTAGATTATCTTTATTTGCTGTTGATGTGTAGATGAGATCCAGCGCTACTTTCTGGAGAAAAAGTGCAATACCATCAATGTCAGTTCTTTGTGCATCAAAAGGAATAACAACAGGTCAACTGCTGCTCTGGGGTCAGGTATGTTTGGGGAAGTTGGTTACTGCATTTTCCTGGTGAGTTAATGTTTGAGGAGAGCATGCCACCGGTGCCTGCTCTGGGCCATAAACAGCAGCACCTTGTGGATACTGCTGAGACGATTCTTCAGAGAGGTGAGGGCCAGGAAGGGTAGCTGGGCTCGGGCCTCTAATGGAAGAACAGCTAGTAGCCACCAACACCAAGATGGGCCATTAGGACTGGCCTGAAGGGAGACGGAGACAGAAAAACGTAAGTAATACTGTAAGAGGGTTTAAAAGACACACGAAAGTGGAAAACCCTGAAAGGAGAGTGGCTCTGCTCTGACTGAGCAGATGAACAAGCAGTTAGTTTTCTTAACCAGCACATTGCAGTTAGCTTAACTAGCTAATCCTGGTGACTAATATATGTGTTTATTGTTTGATGGATTCAGAAGCAAGTGTTTGAAATAATATGAGCATAAATTATGAGGTTTATTTGGAAAGCTTTAGGAGGTGTTCACTGAAGCCACAGTGTCCACATTCACATGGTTACAAATTCACACCTGGAAGTTTCCCCGTACAATCACAGACTGACCTGTGGCCACTGAGCACCCCCGCTGGAGCAGTTTGGGTGAAGGGTGTTACTCAAGGGCACCACTGTGGTGTCAATGAGGGGTTTTTTTGTCACCTGTCCCACCCAGATTTAATCCTGCTGGTCCGGGGATTGAACCAGCGACCATCTGGTCACAAGCCTGCTTCTCTAACAACTGCCCCATGTTCAAAAGTAATAGCATTTTCCTTTAACGTTATCTATTTTCTATGTCCTGATGGACTTATAATTAACAGCATGTGAAAATTGTAGGTTCTGGTGTATACTGCTTATCACAATATACTAACAAGTACATATGTCTGCATATCTCATCAGTAAAATCATGATAGATTTCTCAAAAATGCCTCATAATTCACACCATTAAATGCACATTTCAAAGTAGGTTAGAAATAAGAATAAAAAAAAGTGTATTTCAAAGGTGTGGTTTTGTAAATTCCATGTTGGAACAGGGATGACTGTGTGTGTGTGTGTGTGTGTTTTACCTGAGGTTCAGAGTCCTTCTCAGGCATGGGCCCAAAGTGTCCTTCAATGCGTTCCTTCTGCTCGGCCTTCAGGGAGTTGACCCAAACCAGGGCCTGGTCATACACTGCATCGTGCAACAACTTAAGCTCACGCTCTGCTTCGCCCTGCACCTGCACACACACACACACACACACACACAACTGAGTTATAAGATCTTCTAGTAATTCTCTAGTTATTGCAGCTCTTCCTCCTCTGGATAACTGTGTCTCTCAGCTACTCTTCATCACCTCCACCCTCCTGTCCTCACTTTCCTTTCTCTCTCACCCACACACTTCTTCCCATCACACCTTAACATCTTCCAGGTACTCTATATCAGCTGTATTGTATCCATCCCTCTCGCTGTGCTGGATGACTTTAAACCTCCGTCTGCCGATGGTGTCCACCACCGAGCGGCCATCCGAGAAGAACTTCACATCACGGATCTCCAACAGGCAACCATAGTTTGCAAACCTAGAGGTAAGAGACACAATATTACACTTGCTGAGCACACGCTGACACTCACGTATTGAACACAGGGCTGAGCACACACAGTTATTATCCTAGCACTGACCCTCTGAGGTTGTCTCCCAGACACATGCCAAAGCAGTTGGTTCCCGTCTCCATGCAACGGCGAATCATCAGTCTGTAGCAGGGCTCGAAGATATGGAGTGGACACGGCACAGTGGGGAAGGCCATGGTGCACACAAATATAGGCACATTCTTGTTAAGACTGAAGAGAGAATAAAGAAGAGTGTGTTTACTGTGGTGAATAACAGTCATGGTACAAAGACATATGACATTTTCTGGTTTCCAAGGTCAAGAATGAACATTCATTCTCAACTTTTAACCCAACATGAAAAAGAAGTCCTTGAAATGATCAGAAAAACATCTGCAGTTTCAGAACAGCTGGGCTCCATCCATAAGCACCATTAACCAAAACTAATGACTAGGGTTTTGTGAAGGTGAATCAGCTTTTCTCCATTTTAAAAGCAGTTTTCTTCTAAAGACACAAGTTCGCGTCAGCTCCCAGGAAAGTGATACTTGATGCCTGATGTGACAGTGTCAGAACTGTTTGTTATTTACTTTAGGTCAGTAGGTCAACAACTACAGAGGGATATTCACTTAAAGAGTGTTATGTTAGTCAAAGCCATAAACTATAATAAGATAAGACTTACTTGGAGAGCTCAGCCATCTCCTCCTGATGGATCTTCTGTCTTTCCATGAGCTCAGAGGGAAGATACTTTGATATCAGGTTCTCTATTAATACTGTCTTATAGTATTGCCTCTGGACCAGGTACTGGAGAGGAGAGACACTGTTAGAAATGTGTAGCAGAAACTTAAGAGATGCTGAGCTTGGCTCACACAGTTTTCAGTAACCGAGACATTAAGGCCTGTTCTATATGTGTCTCATAACGTTATCTTATTTGGTGTGTGATTCTATTTTCTAGGTATGCACCAGACCCACACGTCAGAGCTGTCTGGCCCAGTAGTGACCTCATTAAGCAATCAGGTATCAACATGACTGAATCCAAATTAAACACAGTTTGACAGATACAAATGTTCCACACAGTGAAGTATGCAGATTTAAAAAAAAGGGAGAGCCTGGGTATCACATGTTATAACACACTACAGGAGAGTATCACAGTAGATCCCATACCTCAGACAACTCTTCTTTACAGAGTGGACACTTTGGATTGTGGTCCAGACATCTCTCCAGACACTGAAGACAGAAAGTGTGACCACACGGCGTCGTCACTGGCTCATAGAACAGTCTGGAAACACACAAACACACACACTCTTTAACCAGTGACACAAGAGTGCAAAATATACACAGCTCTACTATCAATAAAACCAGTTGAAGATGACTTGAATATGTGGTGGAAAACTCTGGAAAAAGCTAGTAATTGGACCAGGCTGCCTGATGGTGTGGTCTGGTTCCATACAGCCAACCAAGCCAAGACAAACTATTTTTTATTCCTTCCTTTCCTACAGGCTTTGTTCTGCAGGTGGATGCCCTTAAAACTACTCTGTATATCATCATTTCCTTACAAGCTGTATAACCGTCAGCGCCAACTGTACACAACTGCTAACTTATTTATTGCATGGTGTGTGACTGTCAATAAAATTGTAGACCTGAATCAAGCTGTAAGGTCAGTCTCACCTCATACAAAGAGAACACTCCAGGTCTGTCGGGTCCAGGACATCACCAACCACTGAACTCAGTGAATCAGTTGCCTCTGATGGCTCTGAATGGAATGAATATCAGACAATAAATAAGACACAAATGCTGCTGTTAGGTAGTGTAGTGTATGCCTGTGCACAGGTAACACCCTCCAGCAGCTCACCAGATCTGGGTCTTTTGTGATTGCCGCCCCTCTCCTGTCCTCCCTCCTCCGCTTTCTCCTCTGTGCTCCTTTGTTTTCGTTTAAGAAGAAAACATTGGTCTGGCCTCTTGACCTCACTGCTCTCTGACCTCTGGGGTGCACAAGGAGTGGAGCCAAGACTGGACTCTGAAGACAACAAGCTCGGACTAAGGGTCTGAGTGAAAGAAAAAGATGGAAGGAGGGGATAATGAAACATCACGCTTGAGCTAGACCAAGCTGACTGAAGGGGTGGTGAGGAAGTGAGGGCACGTTTACCTGGAAGCAAGCGCCGATATTTTTGATATGTACTCTGGAAGACAGTATACTGGAGCAGTCCGAGATGTGTTCAGGGACCCGATCTGTGACTGGTGCCAGGAGCTCACTGAGGAGCTGAGAGGAGACACAAAACAAACATAGGTTTATTCAGCATGCTTATACTGGTACTTCTTTAGTTTTAGGATGGCATGCAGTAAAACCTGTAAATAACAAAAGAGGTCTTTTGAGGGGAGAAAGTGAGTAAATATGTTAAAAATATATATGAATCTCTGGGCGCAGAGCCCTACATCATTGCAGTGGATTTACCTTGCGAGCCTCAGTCTTAGCCAGCCTACAGTCAGGCTCTATGGACAGACAGACCAGGTACTCTCTTAAAGCCTCCTCTGTCCTGCCCAACGACACCAGGGCCTGAGCCTTTCGAACATGACCCTGTAGGTGGGGGGGGAGGATATATTACTTTTCTAACCAGATGGAAGCGTTTTACTTTACTTACACAAACTGTTTATCACAGGTCTGTTTTTTATGGTGAACAAATCAAGCTGCTATTTGTTTGCCACACCTTTGACCAGTAAGGCATGAGTCTGCAGGCCATCTCAGCGTCTCTCAGGGCCTTTTCATAGCATTTCAGGCTGGAGTGGATTTGGGAGCGATTACTGAACAGTATGTGGTCCATGGGTGCTGAGGAGGAGAGGAGGCACAGTTAGTTACTCAGATAGTAGTTTGTTTTTGTTCTTCATGATCAATTAATCTGTGAAATATGACTTGTTTTGCTTGGCTGATGATCTAAAGCCCAACAATATTTAACTGACAATCAGTTAAAACAGAGTAGAACAGAACATATTAGCTACTTTTCTGTCACCCACATTCCAGGTTTCGTAACCAAGCCTTATGCAAATGTTGGAGTCGGCCCTATGAAAGCCAGAAGGAAACACTTCACTGGCTTTTGTATACACATACTGTATGCAGTAAATCACTCAATGCAACAAAAAGAGTCATGGAAATGCAGGTGATGCCTTGAGCAAAAGGGATGATTTTACATAAGTTAAGATACTGGGTGATCTACAGGTTGAGATGCTCATCTGCATAAGATAATGCACAGGCAATATCTGGCAGAAAAATATAAAAATAGGACAGAAGAACCATTGTTTAACACAGGACTTATTGCATTGTACTTGATTTAAACATAGCAGCTTTGTAGCCCATGAACATGCATGCACACCAGCACACACAGATCGGTACTAATTATAGCTCAGAGGACATTGTGTTGACTTGCAATACTCCCTGGAGGCCTGCACCAACTTTAACCATAACCAGAGCAGGCCACAGCCATCTGTCTAATCCTAACTCAGATCCAACTCTACAGTGAACTCTAAAACTATGCCTTGTTAATCCTCTGGGGACCAGAGCTTTGACCCCAGTTGTGAGGTGAATACCCACATTTGAGGATGAGATTTACACAAGGCAACAAACACATTACACATGCACACACGCACACACATACCACACACAGTCATCCCTGTTCAAACAGAGTGCAGGGGACTGGACCTCATTTAAGGGAACAGAATATTATTCCATAAAATATAAAAAAAAAAAAGCTGTAGCAAGCGTGCTCAGACTTAACAATGGTGTGCTCAACTGCTCAAGCTGTGCAAAACATAAAATTATCAAGCAAACTGCTTGCAAAAAAACAGGAGTACTATTGATGGTATGCAGCTCAGACTTTATTCCAAACTATAACCTGACGTTTCGGCAAGCACGTGCCTTCCTCAGAGCTTAAAGGCACGTGTTTGCCAAAATGTCAGCTCATGTTTTGAATAAGGTCTGTGCTGCATAGCATCATTAGAGCTCCTGTTTTTTACAAGCAGTTTGCTTGATAATTTTATGTGAGAGTTCCATAAACTATGTTGATAAATAAGATGATTTACACTACAGCTTCTCCAAGTGCTACCACCTTTTTTCCACTTAGCTGAAATTTTGATCACAAACTAATTTGCACAAATGCTTTAGTTAATGTAGACAAGTACTCCTTTAGGATTTAGAAACCAAAAATGAGTCAGGATGATACAGTTAATCATGCAGCCTTTCAGCCATCTTCTAGCATCTGCACTTATGTCACCCTCTGGTAATCATTATATAAAACACCTTTGCTTAACATGCAAATCACTCTGGATAACATCCTGGTGTGCACTCAGACCTGGAAACTTCCCAGGACAATCCCTAGCTATTTCTGTGGTCACTACCAAGTCAGTTGTTGGCGTCTGAGTTGCTCCACTGCAGCAGCTGGGAGATAAATGCTCTACTGGTCTAACCCCTAGTACAGACATGTTGGTGTATTTGATAAATTGTTACACAATTCAAACTTGTGCGTATATCAGCTGTGAACTTATCAGCCAGGGACAGTGGTGGAAGGTTTTACTCAAGTAATGTACTTAAGTATAATGTTGATGGATTTGTACTGTACTTATTTATTTTTCACTTTCTGTGGCTTCATAATTTGATGCCACTACATTTTAGAGGCAAATATTGTAGTTTTTACTCCACTACATTGATTTGTTCACCTTAGTAACTTTTCAGAATGAGATTAATTTTAAAAAATGCAATAAAATCAGAAGACTTTATTGATCTCTTGTGGAAAATTCCCAAGTTGCCCAACAATAATTCACATTATGAGCATAAACTAGATACACTTCTCCCCCTTTTCCAGCTGCATGTACACAATAATGCATCAATAATTATAATCCAATATGTTATTCATAATTTAAATGTGACATTCTGCATGAGTACTTTTACTTTTTCTTCTTATTGTATGTTTTGATACTAATACTTTTACTTATGTAACATTTTGAATGTTTTAATGTTTAACACAACCTGCCTGTACAGGTCACGTATCCCAGTCTTAGGAGACTTTGTGCCCACTAGCTGTGCCACAGAGTTTGTTACACACTAAACTTGCTCCACTTTACTTTACTGGCAGAATATTGTCTCTAAATTAAATCCAGAGAAAGCAGAAATGTTGGTCTTATGTCTAATATCTGAAAAGGCCTGTGTGGAGGTCACAGTTCACCTCTGCCTATACATTATGAAGCCGCTGTGTGCATTGTGTATCTGGTGGTGACCTGCTATCATATCCTTGACCCACATTTGCCTGAAACACTGTCTGACGTTACACAATGCGGGAGGTTGGTTACGTGCTTACGCAATGTTTGGTCCCATAGCCCAGCCTACATAACCCTGTTATCCAACCCGGTCTGACCTCGGATGCCCTCAGAGAGGCGGCTGGCTGCTGCAGAGTGCACTGCCACGGTCACACCGAGTGTCTAGCACACTTTGTAAACTGTGTTGGATCATTTCGTTACTGTTTCAGGAGAAGTTTCCTGGCATGTAGCCAACACGTTATTAGACTGAACAGCTACAGAAAACACGAAGCTGCAAAAACGTAGCCTCGTCACACACTTTTTAATCTGACATCAACTATATAGTTAGCCCGTGTTGTCAAAAGTCACTGTGTAATGACTAAGGCTTCTCATAAAAACAACAGTGCGCTGTTCACGGTCCTACCTATCTCTACGGCTTGGTTGTATTTCTCCAGGGCAGCTTCCATCTTTTTCTCCGCGTACAGTCCGTTGCCCTCCCGCCTCAGGCGGCCGGCCCGGTGCAGGGTCGGGAACCACTTGGCCAGCAGGTTGCTGAGGACCACATTCACCCGGTAACTCTGGACGTCCGCCAACGGGGAGCTGTCCCTGCAGTCTTTACACATCACCGACCGCTCCTTTTCCTTCCTCTCTCTCTCTAGACACTTCTGACAGAAGCAGTGTCCGCACGGCAGAGTCACAGGCTCGAACAGAAAGCTCATACATATCCGGCAGGAGAAGCCATCATACAGGCAACCTGTAGCACCAATGCCGGGGCACCCGGCTGCCGCCGCCGCCCCTGCCTCCCCTCCTCTCGTCAGGCTACTGCTCCGACTCTCTCCCCCGTCCTGCCTCCCGATACTACCCAAAAGGTACTCTACGAGGTTGGCCAGGTGAGCAGGTTTCAGTCTCTCTATCTCCGAGGCTTGGCGGTACACATCGAGGGCTTCAGTGAACTTGCCCCCGAAGGCCAGCGCATCAGCCCGTTTAACCATCAACTCCCGCCGGCTCCCTGGATCTCCGAGACCCGTCAGCTGGCACTCGTAGATGTCCGCTGCCAGGTCGAAGTTTTTCGACTGGAAAGCCTCCGCTGCAAGCTGCAGCATACTCTCACTCTCTGTTCCCATGCCCAGTAGGTTTGAAGGCTAACCCATCGGCATCAGGTGCCTATCTGCTCAACACCCCCACAGCCATTCATGCCTGTGCCCTGTGCTGGGAAGTATTAACTACACTGTGCGGTCACAGTGGAGCCCAGGAAGCACTCGTATTATCCTCAATGGAGCAGGGGAGGGGGGAAAAAACAGTTATGTAAAAGTTGTGTCATGTGACACCGGCCAGCTGTTCTCATTGGACGAGCTTAGAAAAACTGTTACAAAACAATCTGACATGTAACAGTTGAGTGTCGGGGCAAGAGCCAGGACCCCGTCTGACCTGCATGGAGGTCCCAGTGTTCCCAGTGTGAAGTGGGACAGCTAAGTGGGAGCCTGGGCGGGGGTCACTGTCAGTACAGCTGGAGGGTTTACTACACCACATAATGTATTTTATTGATATTACAAAGCTTTTAATTTGCAATCTACAATTTTAGTGCAAGGTTCAGCTGTCTTTACCCCCATTTTAAGTGTAGCATCATTTATGTAACAAATTATATGTAACAACAAACTTCTAAAATGACGTTTCTTGGGGTATGGTGGTCCATTTCCTCCCCAACCCCGAACAGCACCCTAACAAGCCCCAGTTTTAAGGTATGTTTTAAGGGGAGTCCCTCCACTGTCAGACCTTCAGCCCTCTGGTCAGCCTATTTTAATTAAGTGACTTTTAAATCACCCTCATAGGGTCACTAAGTAACTGCATGTCTTTTCAGTAATATCTTTTCATGCAGTCTGGGATTAAAGAGTTATTTGGTTATAAAAGTGACTGACCTGGGGTGGCTGCTCAAAAATCTAATGGTGCAATAATTAACCTGTGGACTTTTACAAGCATGTACTTCTTGTTTTAGGTCATTTGCTTACACAAGGAAAACAGTGCTAGCTTCCTGCTTTGTCAAAGCTGCTTTACATAAAGAAAGGCAGGTGCAGGGCAACAGGTAAACCTGTTCAGCTCTTACACAAACTTTCCATTCAATCATTATTATCCAATACTCCTTGTCACTGGCCCGACGTCAGACAAGGTGACATAAAGCAATAAACCTGGCTGCATGTAAGTTTATCAAACTGTGTCACTGCCACAGAACACAGTGTGTTTGATAACTGTGACACACAACAGTCATTTACTGGAACTTTGATGCTCAGCTAGACATTGCAACATAGAAGTGTTTGCATAATGTCACACACACATTTTTTTACGTGTGTAAAGTTTATACGTAACTTGCTGCTTGTAGCAGTTTTTTAAGTTCATAGTTAAAATGAGATTATCAAAAAAAGAAATAACATTCTTCCTCTTATACATGAAACACTGAAGCCAGAAACACATCCTTTCTCAGTTCAGGTGTTTTACTAGCTCTTACTGTGGTTAATGTTAGTTAATGGTATTTAATGAGGAAAACATATTGCTGTGTAACTGACAATACCCAGTCAGTTTTTGACTTCATGACACTTTTCTACTTGCAGCATTTACCATTATCCTGTAAATGTGAGCTTTAGCCACAGTGTCAGTGGTGCTCAGCAGAAGTTACACTGACTTGCTATAAGGCTAGAATTGAAAGTAGGGCAGAGTTCAGTGAGGCTGGTTAAAGGATTGTCCTACAAATGGCTCTGATACTGGACTACATGGTATTTTTAGCATTACCTGAAGCTAGTATTTCCCATAGTCTGAAAATAAGCACTGTTTCCTACAGGGGGTTGCTGTGTGTGAGTGGGGATTACAGGCCATTCAACAACTGCCCATGTCAGTAATAGCGGTGCTGGTAATATAGGTCGACTGGTCTAGTCTGTGAACTCAATCCCGCACACAGACGCTGCCTGACATAATGCATTCACCTCTGCAGACAGAGACAGACTGACAAACTGACTTATACGCCAATGAGGACACTAGCAGAGTGTTACACAAGCACGTCCACATCCACACTCACCCACACACAGACAAAATGTTCAGAAATCATTTTGTTTCTACACACCTAGAAAATTTGTTGTCTGTGTTTCTAAATAGGCTAACAATGCAGTCTAGACATTGCTCCTAGCACAGAGTGTCTGGACATTAAATACTGCGCTGGGACCAGTACATATCCTCAAAGTGACATCAGACGCTATTATAAAACATTGTCCTACTTATATGGAAGGAACCATGGATATTCATGTGATAGATTCCACTGCTGCTTGTATTCTTCTACAGAGGTATCACACTTTGCAGTGAACACTTCCTATCTTAGTGCATTCATTTAGGAATTAATGCATAAACATACCAGAATAAAAACCACAAGAGAATTTAGGTTACATGAGAGAAAGGTCAAATCATGTCTGAACTTGTGAAAGTCTGGTTTTGAAATACTGTACATGCCGTGTGACCATTGTTAGGTATTTTTAGTCAGATAGATATTGGATAGATACTTTATGTATTAGAAATGTTTAGTGGAGATGGGATGTCTAGTTAGACTGTTAAATGCTTAGGCATGCTCATCAGTTTCTACAGGGTACATCTGGTCAAGGATAACTAGAGAGAAGAGTTGATGACTGTCAGCAGACAGGGTGTTTAATATTATTATTACGACGTGTATAACTGTAGCCTTAGCCATAATATGTTCTTATGTTTAAGTCACGACATGTACTAGAGGTCGTGAGAATGTTTTTAGCTACACACCACTTAACTAACAGACACACACACATTGATTTGCTTCATGTTTTGACTACTGCTATGACCAGCTGCAAAGCTGGTAACAGAGACGTCTCGGTTGACGTTTCTGTGTAGTATGGGGCTAGCCCAACCGAAGGGATATAATGTATAGGCCTGGTGGGTTCAGGGTCTTTCATCTTACATCTGCCTGCGTGCAGTTTGGAGGCGCAAGATACCTGAGCGTGTAATGTTAATTTTACCTGTGACCCTTTGAATAAATCAGCACTGTTTTGAAGTTACTTGGACTGTCTCGTCTCTCAGAGTTAGCAATGGTAAGAAGAACCATAGTTCTACAACACCATCCAAATTAAATTTCTACCATTATTAGGAATAGGTTCTCTCATTGTCTAAGCAAGGAGATTCAGGCTGGTGTTTGGTTGGTTCTGCAAGAAAGTCTCTGATCTGTTACTTATCCAAATAAAGAACAGAGGTTTGTTGTGAACTATAAAGCCCTTTATCTTAAAAAAATGCAGTTAGATGGCAATTTATGCATGGATGCTGACAGCATCTACCTTCTTTACCATGATGAAAAAGATTAAGTACAAAAAAAAAACTTTTCTCTTTAAATTTTAACCAAATCATTTCATTCCACATTTTTTCACACACTTGGTCTTTGAATTTCTGGATATAAAATGCTTTTATTCCAAGAAATAACCACATGCTTTATACTAAATCACCATTTTGTGAATTTCTGTGTGTATCTTGTTTTATCCTCTTTTCAGGCTTTGTGTCTCCCCAATAAATTAAGGATTCTTTGGGTATTTATCATGCAGTTTTTTAAGTACTAAGATACAGTATTGTTTAAATGTGTTGTGACTCTAAGAAAGAATCCAAGTTGCCTTATGCAGTACAATTTTAAGTCTGGTTACCACCTTGTGAACGACTTGCTCACATGCTAATTAAGTATTAACGAGGTTCAACTTCTTAATGCAGTGTCTTAGCATGCTAACATTTGCAAATCTGCATCAAGCTTATTTAAGTCACAAGCTAAAGGAGAAATTGAAGATCTGACAGTATGATGGTGCTATGAAAAGTGAGACAGTTACCAAAGGTATCATAATTCAGTCTGAGGGAAACAAAATGTCTGTACTAAAGTTCAATGACAAACCATCCAGTATTTTTTGAGACATTTCACTCCATACCACAAATGCTAACTTCAAGGTGGCAGAAGAGGAACAGTCACACTCACCACAGAATTTCATGCTAATCATCCAGTAGCTGAGATACTGTCATATGTTTTAAGGCAACAAGTTGATGAAGATTTCAGTATCTTTTAAATCAGGAAACCTGGCGATCTGATCAGTGTTAAGGTGGGTTTTTTTCAGACATTTTTGGTTTGGTTTTGTCGATGGAGAGCTCTTCATACAACTTCATAATAGGATTTGTCAGCTGTCACGTGTAGTGAAGCTAGTTGTTCACGTGCTGACTTTTTATGCGTTTGTGGTGGTGTTGTACAGGTGAAAGTGTTAAGCCCTTATAAAATGACACGACTTGTTACCTCTTTAACACAGTGTGACAAATCAACTGCTATTTGCAAATAAAAAACATATTTTATTAGACAATTGTGGTTTAAGAGATGGAAATGTGTATGTTATAGAAAACAAAAAACCTAAAAATCTTTTTTTTTTGTTAATACAACAGTGCTAGAACCCGTTGCTCTGTCACTGGTTTGAAGAACTGGTAAAAAAAAAACACAAACAGAAACAACTTGACTTGTCCTCATGTTTCAGGAGCACATGTACAATGTTCAGAGCAGATCACATGAACCCAGTCCAAGCAGTCACTTAGAGAGTCTGACAGCACGCTTGACTGCGTTTGGTTTTTAGCACAGTGGACGATTTGCAGCTGTCTCAAATATACCGACCACTAAACATTAATGTTAATATGTACTGTTTACAGCAAAAGAAAATGAGTGATACAATATGTTGTTAAATGTTGGTCTTGTCTTTGGTCCTGCAGCACAGCCTTGCTGTCAACATTCAGGCATGTTGGATGCAAAACCATCAAATCAATAACATCATGACAGATTAATATGAACATGCTTCATATATTTTAAATTATTAAAATAAAGGTCATTGTATGTGCAGTAAATTTACAAAATTCTACTAATACTCAAGAATGAAAGCCCAAGTAGGATTTATTAACATAGTACATCAGTCCTGGATTTTGAGAATGCTCCTCTTCTCCAGATCATTCATCTCTTTGAGAATCAGAGCCATGTTGTAACGGAGCTCCTGGAACTTAGACACTGGCACCTGAACGATAAAACAGTAACACCAGTTCACAGATGTTAAGGTGGAAGTGTTGCATTGATTTGCATACAATTAAACAAGTGTATCTAATAAAGTGGCTGGTGAGTGTACATTGCTTGTAAGTTATAAGCAAGTTTAATAAAAGTCATCTGCTTAGGACTAATTATTGTGGACCTTTGACCTTGAACAGAAATCAGATTTGGACCTTTGGATATTAAGCTTGAGAACCCTGTTCTAAACTAATACACAAGCAAAAGGTTAACAGAATTCATATTCCTCTCATGTTGTGTTAAAGGTAACAGAAGAATGTGAGTCACCGTGTGCCTGTACCTTTACTAGTCACAACACATCTGATAATTAAAAGAGAAGACTTAAAGAAGGCGCAGCCACCTCTGCATCTGTTCTTATGATTACAGCAGAAGACATCCATTAGTCATATCCTGAGAAGCACATATCAGGTAGAGATAAGATCCATCAATAGAATCTGCATGCCGGATGTTGTTGCTGCTTATCTTCTAAATTTGGCTGTAATCTTATTACGTAACTGCTGCACTAGGTGCACAGCAGCTCTGATAGAAGTCTTCCCCTCTGCACTGTCCACATCAGTGACTTACTCTGCAGGAGAATGGCGCCCCCTGTTGAGTTAATAGCTTTAATTTGTTGAATTGATTAAATTTGCAGTTGAGCTACTAATTTTGCCTTAATCATTAATTGCTAAACATTATTATTTCTAATAAGTACATCTGTATGGCTGTAATACAAGTTAAGTGTTATAATAATATTATAAAGCTTGTTTCTGGGTTGTGCAGACAGCAGGGTTGCTATTGTTAGTACAGAGAAACCACAATCATTTGTAGAATTTAAAGTCACGTTGCTGCACTTTTTGCTTATTTGTGAACTGAAGACTGGGTCTTTTCTACGTAATTTGAACCAACAGGCTTGTACAAACCGACACACGGTCAAGACTTCAAACTGAAAAAAGTCTTTTTTTTTTAAAGGAAAAGTTAATTTACAATGAAATAAGATATAGTATGAATCTGTATTCTATTATGCAAGCTGTATTCTTTGCAATGTCATGACCCTTTTCTTATACAACGTGTAACAAATAGAAACATGCAGATACCGCAAATGAAGAAGCAATACTTTCAAAACACATTGGAAGCACTTAGTCAAGAACAGATTCTAGGTTAGGCTGTAGTTAAAAAGGTTTCTTCAATTATTCCGCTGTAATCCTATTACATGACAGGTGAAACAGGCCTAAATTATCCCAGTGGCTAACGACCAGCTTGTTTCTGCTCAGAGGCCAAAGTGAAACTTGGAATACACAGTACAGTGCAGAACTCACACTTGTCATACATAAGGTTAAAAGACCATAAAGCTTTCTGAAAGCCAAGCTTAAAGATATTTTATAATGCAACTAGAATCTATTAAAGTCTCATTTAAACACAAGATACCAGCCACACCTCAATATGCGGTAGCTGATATACAGTAAGTCCTGAAAGTTTAAGAATGTGTATACACATACACACATGTTTGGATAGTTTTATACTCTATGTGTAAACTAATCCTGATTTGTGTAAATCCAAATGAAATCCAGTGAAGTTTTATGTAATCCCCTACACCCGGGGGAAAGAAACACCCTCCTCTCTTTCAACAACTACCTGAGCCAGCTTTCAACACGACACCTACAAGAATGTGACTGAAAGGATTAGACTTACTAGTTTGAACTAGGTACATAAATTCACATTCAAAGTAACTTATTCTGAATGCAGTATAAAGAAACAGGTCAACTGTACCTCAAAGCGGTGGAAACTCCCATCTGACAGTTTCATCTGCATCAGCACAGAAGGCTGCAGGGCTCTGGCTAAAGAGCTGCAGAGACGCAGAAAGACACCAACTTTGTTACAGCGACACCAAGCCTGACACTCTCTTTCTTTAAAAAGAGAAAATAATTCTTCCCGGATTGACAACAAACAAACAGAAAAAGGACCAGACCCATAAAGTGGTTTTGGTTGAAAATGCACTGTTAATTAGTTAGTGACCGTTTTAGAGGTCACAAATTCTAACATAGTGTAGTTCCCCGGGTCTTTTGCAGATATGGGCATGACACCAGTGACAGTCATCAGTATATTTGTCAAGAGACAATATTGCTTCTGTACATTACCTTGTAGAAATGGCAACATCCACCCTCCATTTAAAGTCTTCTATTGTTGGCAAGCGAGGATCATTCTGGGAGACTGCTGACTGTAGAGCGGCACGACTAAAAATATAAAGAGAATCATAATGTAATAATCACAAATGGTATCTGAATGCCATCCATAGCAGGAGAACTGTTCAGAAATTCATGGACAAATCCCCGAGAGTGTGCTGTAACAGATCATTTGTGCTGATGGCAACCACCCACAACACTAACCACACAAGTTTGGATCACAATAAGAATGAAACAGCTCTGTCTTCTTTATTGGATTTAGTGTGGTCAAGGGAGACCTGTCTTCATGGGGGGGACATAAAACAATTAGATTAAATGTGTAATGATCTAAATTTAAACTCAGCATACCGATTTCCAAAAACCACACTGGAAAAATCTGTGATGAAGTCTTCAGGTATCCTGATGGATAGAAAGGGAAACAACAAATTGAGCATTTAAATTGTTTTGCTTGTAAGCAGCATTGACAATAAATCAAAACACTGAGGATGTGAGCCTTGCCTTAGTTCTCTGAGATCTTCTTTGAAGGCCTAAACAGGGGCACAAATAAACCATTAGGTTTTTATAACAAAAATTCAGAAATGTTTACACTTTTAAATGCACAACCCTATGCCTATGAAAAGGACAAAATCAGAACTTCTTCTCCTAGATAACAATACACAGGTGCAGTTATCGGAGAAGAGGTCTAATCAGACAGATAAAGTAGATTCTACATACTAATAATATACAGTATGTACTAGAGACAAGTGACAGTTTAAAGGAAAAAACCAACATAATCGCCTCAGTAAGGTGTTGGGTCACCACGTGCCACCAGAGCAGCTTCTTGGGCACCTTAACTCTCCAAGTCTCTGAACTCTACTGGAGGGATGGACAGCATTCATCCAAAAGATGCTCCTTCGTGTGGTGTTTTGATGATGATGGTGGAAATGCTGACAGGCACATCGCTCCAAAATCTTTCACAGTTGTTCAACTGGGTTGAGATCTGGTGATCATGAAGGCCGTAGCATAAGATTCACTTCATTTTCATACTCAAATCATTCAGTGACCCCTCGTGCCCTGTGGATGGGGGCACTGTCATCCTGGAACAGACCAGTCCCATCAGGACAGAAATGGTTCATCAAAGGATAAAGGTGATCAGTTGGGGTCAAGCATTCAGGTCTGTACCGTTCTCTTGGTGTACTCCACACATGCACTCACCCATTTGCTGAAAATACTGTATGATGAAGGATCACTCATCTGACCATATCACTTTATTCCACATATCTGTAGACCAGTACTTATAGTTTTTGCACCACTGAACTCTCAAATGAGTATTTATCTTTGTATTGTGGGGCTTATACACTGCACTCCTACTACAACCACCCTCTCTTTCATAATTGTCAATGGACTATTCTAGCCAGTTGCGCAGTGTTTGTGACTGACGTTCCTGCTGTCTGCGCCCCAGTAATGACTTCTCTATCAGTCACTTAGATCCTTTCCTCTTGCCACCTTGATCTAAACTCAGAATCAACTGGGCCTGCTCAGCATTTTTATACATGCTTCAGAGCATGACTGGATGTTAACTGCTCATTTGTACCATTCAGCATTCATTGTTTCTCCATTCACTTATTCAGGCTTTTCCTTTAATTTGCCACCTGTCTGTAAATATGTATTGTTAAATAGTTTTTGTAGTTAAAAGCACATGTGTTGCTAATAATATTAAAAACCAGTCTGTCCTATTCAAGTGTCAAAGTTAAGAAGTGTCAGTGAGACAGCATGCACTTTACCAGGTCACTGAAACTGAAGCAGCTAAAAGGAATTCAGCCATCATACATTTTATGAATTACACCTGGACATCTCTTACATGTCAAATGTCTGTTGTTGCTATCTTTAAGATCTAGCAGGGTTCCACATTTGGACAATTGGGCTGCCAATTTTCCAACTGAGACTGAAATGTACAACTAAATAAACAAAATTAATTATGTGTCAGTATGTCACCAAAATATATAATTCCCAGTGTTAAACATTAACGTACCTCCTGTTTAAGTGACGATGTGGGGATGCGAATAGCCTCGGATAGCAGTCTGTACATCCCAGATATGATGTGACTGAGCCTCTCCTGTGGGATGGTACTGCCCTCTGCTATGGCCTTCATCACCTCTCTGCAGTCCTTCCCCTCCAGGGCGCTGACCACAGCTAGACAACAAACAATTCAAAGACACATTTTACTTATTAGTCAATTACTCTAAATGCTAGTACTTGTTCTGAGACTCGGTGGAAGGACTTTATCGCCTTATAACACAGGCACTGCACAGACAGGGACACTGAGCAGGTCAACACTCTCTAGCAGATTCCACTGTTTCAGCTTTTTTTAAAAATCTCACAATAATATTGCCGGCGCCCAGATGGCATCCACTGGGCAATTAATAAACGTTCAATTTTATTTAATGTTCTTGTCCGTGGCTTACACACTAGTTACATTTGAAGGGACCTGCTATATAAACAAGAACACAC